TACTCTAGCCTACAGAACAAGAGAGCAATTTATTTTCTTCAGATAATGCTTATAAGTGGAATTGGGGAATTAAAGAGTTGCGTGGTGACTTCTTCAGGGAAGCTAAACTGGCTACAGATCAAATGCCTTTCCGTGCAATAGTGACACATATTTTTGCCTGATTATTGAGATGATCTCTCAAGATTACCTGTTGTTTGCCTGTCTAAAAAGTGACTTACCGTTTTGGAACTGGGGAGCATTTGCCCTTGCTGAGGATGTTGATGAAACACGGCGCGGCGGTGGGGCGGGACACACGACAGGGGAGACAGGCCAAACATCCCTGTGGCCTCAGGGTTTGCATACATTTAGGTCTGGTGACTTCCAGAACCATAGAATACTAAGGAGGGCATCTGGTCACCTGTGTCAGGCCAACAAGCCTAAAGGTGAATTCTAGCCCCTAATATGTGCAGAAGAGCCCCAGGGCAGTCTTGGACAGAGTTCTTCAGGATGCTCAGCATCCCCTGAATAGCGTGGCATAGGAGAGCCAGAGCTGACTGAAGGATTCAACCCTAGAATTCTGCACTTCCACTTCCTCTTTTTATGTTCTCTGAAAGCAGTAGTGGGCTTCTTTTAAAATAATAAGATGTTCTGCAGCTCTTTTCTCCTCAGTTCAGTTGCTTTCACTCTTTAATTCTGCATTCCCTGAATATTCTTATCAGAGGCAGATCATCTTCTAAATTTGGTTCAAAGTGTTTTTATTATCTTGAGTGGACTTTTTCCTGGTTCCCCACATCCCAGATTGATTTCCGTGTCTCAGCACCCGAGATGGATGTTGCCAAGGAGAAGCTCATCTGGGGTTCTCTTTCCATATATTTAATTATCGTGCCGAGTAATTGAGGACCAAAGCATTTTAGTCCCAAGGGGTAGGGTATTAGAAAATGAAGTTTTTGTTTTGTTTTTTATAATTTTAAGTGCTGGAAACCATACGGTAATAATAACTCTTCAAGTTGCCTATGTTTCATCTCTGGGGTTTTATTTAGAGGTTTTGTTCAAGGAGCTCAGGAAATAGGAATATGAACTTAAAATTACTTTTTTTTTTTTTAACATTATCTAGGACTGTGCTTTCTGCAAGGCTACCTACTTAGCCACATGTAGCTATTTAAGTTTAAATTAATGTTAAATAAAATAAAAGTTCAGTTCTTCAGTTGCACTGTATTCACATTCTAAGTATTCATTAGCCACCATTTTGACCAGTATAGATGTAGAATATTTGTCATCACAGGGAGTTATGTTGGACGGCACTGGCACACAGCACAGAGGAACAGTACCTTTTAGACACCTTTATATGAGAGCTTGAAAGTGTTGCCGCCTCCCTGACTACCTTGGCCAAATTGTATCCACAGACTTGTCACCTTTTATGGAGGTGGATGGATATTAGAATGAGACAGTTTTAAGTATTCAGTAAGAAAAACTATAGGAGGATTTTCTAGAAAAAAAATTCTTGAATTTACTAATAATAGCTCATAGATTAAATAAAGGTGGCAAGTGATTAGATAATTATAATAATAGCAGCTATTTTTGTTGCATACCGGCTGTATTGCAGGGTTTTGTTCCAAATGCTTTACAGTATTAACTCTCTTAATCCTCATAATTAACCTATGAGGTATCATGTTATATTATCCTCATTTTTTGGTTGAGGAAATTGAGGTAGAGAGAGGTTAAATAACTTGACCCTGAGTCATATAGCTAATAAGGGGTTGAACTAGTATTTGAACTCAAGCGGTGCAATTCTAACTGTCCCTTGTATATCTAGAAATGATACTGAAATATCTAGACTGTTCCCCCCATAACAGGAATAGTCACTTGGTTAGGAAACTATAGAAGACATGCAAAATAGGTATTCCAGCTAGTTCAGGTTCTTATTAACATTACAGCTTCTAAAAAATTTTCTGTAGCCTAGACAGAGTAAAAGTTAAACAACTTTTCAAAAGGAAGTTGTAGCACTTTAGACTGTTTGGGGAAGATACAATTAATCTGCTAGACCAGGGTTAACAAGCTGAGGCCCATGGGCCAAATCCAACCTGCTTTCTGTTTTTGTAAATAAAGTTTTATTAGAACACAGACATGCTGTTTGTTTATGTATTCTACATTACATTTGCAGAGCTGAGTAGTTGTTAGAGAGATCATATAGCTCATAAAGTCCAAAACATCTATTTTCTGTTTCTTTACAGAAAAAGTTTGCTGACCTCTGTACTAGATTGTATTGTCCAAGCACTTCAAGATGATTAGCATTAGGGTATTTCTGAACTTGAGGAACAACCCCTAAATTGTCAAAGGGGCCGGGATATTTCAGCATTTTTGTTGTTATTCAGCATAAATGTGTGCATCCTCTTCCATGTGACAGGCACATCTGAATTTACATTGGCACTAAAATTGGCATTGTACCAATTCTCAAATACTCACATCTCAGAGACCTGACTGCACTTGACACAAGTAATTTCTGGTGGATCCCTTGGTGCTCAGTGAGCCAGAGTCCCTCTGCTGTCACTTTCTGTCTCTGTGCCTGCCCATTGTTAGAAGACTTGTGCACACAAGATGTTCACTTAATGCTCCTCTTACTTTAAGATCATGGTGGAGTTAGCTAAAATAGTAGGCAAATATTAAAATCCAACACTCTTAAAACTGCATATTCTGTTACAAAGTTAGAATAAACTAAGTTCCCCCAAGTTTGTTTACCAAACCTTTTAAAAATAATATTTTTTCCTAATTGTAAAAGTTATATGCAGAAAGATGTAAGAAGAAACTAACCACAAGAATGGGAATACCCTCTCACCAATGAACCCCACCACCAAGGTGGCCATTTCAGTCCATCACCCAGACTGGAGTGTAATGGCAAGCTAACAGTCACCGCAGCCTCAACCTACTGGGCTCAGGTGATCCTTCCACCTCAGCCTTCCAAGTAACTAGAACTACAGAAGTGTGCCACCATGCCCAGCTAATTTTTTGATTTATTGTAGAGATGAGGTCTCACCAAGTTGCCCAGGCTGATCTCAAATCCGTGAGCTCAAGCAGTCCTCTCACCTCGGCCTCCCAAAGTGCTGAGATTATAGGTGTGAGCCACCGCGCCCGGCCCAATTTTCTCTTTTAAACAATCCTTTTTTCCATGTCATTTATAATTTCTTAGAAAAAACATTTTTCATTGCTACATAATAATCCATTGTATGGATGAACTGTAGTTTATTGAGCCGTTTCCTGTTCCTGAGTATTGTTTCCAACTGTTTGCTGTTACAGATAGAACACAGTAACCATCTTTGACAGAAACCTCTGTCTGCTTTCTGGGTGTCATCTTAGGATCAGATTCTCAGAATTACAAATACTTTATTAAAAATAGCTTATGAGATATGGCAAGAATAAATTAATAAATAAAGGACTGGGTATGATGACTCATGCCAGTAATCCCAGTGCTTTGGGAGGCCAAGGCAGAAGGATGACTTGAAGCAAAGCCTGGGCAACATAGCAAGCCTGTTTGAGACCAGTCTGGGCAACATAGCAAGATTTCATCTCTACAAAAATTCAAATTAAAATTTTAAAAACTTAGTCAGGTATATGATGACATGTGCCTCTAGTTTCAGTTACTCAGGGGAAGCTGAAGCAGGAAGATCCCCTGAGATTAGGAGTTTAAGGCTGCAGTGAGCTGTGATTACACCACTGCATTGCAACCTGGGTGACAGAATGAGAGTGAGACCTTATCTCAAAAAAAAAAAAAGAAAAAAAACCAAAAAACCAAAAATTAAATAAATTGATCAGATAGATAGCCATATTATCTCTGACTTAAATGAAACCTGCAGGTGAACAAGAATACTTTAGAAATTTCTGTTTGGTGATTTGATATTTATCTTAGGAATTCAATAGTTTGATGATGTCGGAGCATGGTTTGAATGCCCTGACATCTGCCTAGAGATGTTTCTTGGGTTCTTTCCCATAATCTAGCAGTTTTCAAACTTAAATGGGTATAAGAATGACCTTGTAGAGTTGGACACCCCAGGGCCTTGACACCTGCTGTCCTCTCTCCAGTATATCCTGCCCCCAGGGAGTCACAAGTCTCATGTCTCCATGCAGGTCTCATACAAATGTCATGTTATGAGAGAGATCTCTCTGACCACAGGGTCGCTTGTTCTTCTCTTGCCTGTGTTATTCCCTGGGTAGCTCTGACTCACTCTAATCACTGTTCATATGTGTATTTTCTCTCCTTACTGGAATGTAGCCCCAAGTGGGAGGGATTTTCATCTGTCCGTTGCCTTACCTTGTGAATATCATTCTGTATCAGGAGTTCTTACCCTCAAGGCTATGTGCATGCTAGGCTTTAGGTTACACTGCAGTGATTTTTGTCATGCTGTGCCATTATTGTCATTGCTCCTATTTTGGCATGAGTATAGTCAATTTGAGGCATTGGGGGAGAGCCTTGAGAAAGATCTGTGATATCGGGGGTAAAATGGGCCCTGAGGGAGAAGGACCTGGACTTGGCAGGTGGGGCTTGGTTTTTGTTACATAGGTTGCATGTGCGAATCTGGACCCCAGCTGCTGCTGGCACAAACTGGTGGAGGCTCCTTCTAGCTGCTAGCACCTCCCTGTGTCAAAGAGCAGCAGCCTAGCATCCATGCAAAGCCAGTAGGACAGGCGAGTCCCCAAATTGGGTTGTGTCCTTCAAAGGCTAAAGTTGTTCAGTAAAGCACCTGATTTATGGGATTTGACTTGGGCATAGGAAAGAATTAAATTCAAGAGCTACATGTGAACACCAGTATTTTCCTTTTACAGGGCATGGAAAACAGTTATCAAAACGTTTGCAATAATGTTTGGGGGAACTGTCACTTTATCAGGATCAACACTGCTAGTTATAATGAATGACTTACGGTAAACCTTCTGTGTTTAGGATAGCTGTCTTCACCACGAAGGCCTTGTCTTTGGTTCAGAGACCATGGGTACATGACAAAATGCCATGGACTTTTCTTTTCTCTCTTCAGGTCTAGCACATACCGCTCCAAGGGCTTTGATGTCACTGTAAAGTACACACAAGGAAGCTGGACGGGCTTCGTTGGGGAGGACTTCGTTACCATCCCAAAAGGCTTCAATAATTCTTTTCTTGTCAACATTGCCACCATTTTTGAGTCAGAGAATTTCTTTTTGCCTGGGATTAAGTGGAATGGAATCCTTGGTCTTGCTTATGCCACCCTGGCCAAGGTAAGGCTAATCCATGAATTTAAGTAAATCAGATAATTGAATGAGAGTCTGAAAACCAGTAGGCTGGCAAATGAGTCCCAGGTAGTACTTGGAAACAGTCAATGAGAGTCACATGGTTGAAAGAGACCAGTGTCCATGTAATTCTGTTTCTAAGCATTTTCAAAATTTAAGATAAAAGGCATGAGGTTTTGAACCTTTCTGTATGATATACTAATAGCATTAACTTTTTTTTGTTTTTGTCGATTTTAGTTCTGCAGTTTAAAGTGTTAACAGAATTTGATTATGGTGGATTATGGTATTTATTTAGGAGTTTTTACTAGGTAGGATTAAAAGAAAACACATTTGTTAAATTCATACGTTTGCATGAAGACATTGTCCGCAGGCAACTCTGGAACGTGGGTAGGTGAAGGTGTTCTCTTCCGGGCTGGGGACACATCCTGCTGTTTTCCCAGTCCTCCAGGAGACACCTCTGTGGAAACACCTGTAACCCCAATATGGGCACCTCAAAAGCATGCCCTGAGGATGGCCAACCCCTCCTAGTAGATTGAGCCCCAGAAGAATTGTGGAACCCTTGCTTTCATCAGTGCTAGAGCCTTCCCCAAATGGGGCAAGACAGAAGTGGATGTTCTCCAGATATTTGTACTCAGGACCAACACAAAGGAAATCATGTTTGTGTGCAGGAGGGGGGAGGCTGATGGGAATTTCCACCCAGAAGGGTGGCCAGAGGCAGACGGGATTAGATACCAGGGGTGTGTCCTGGGCGCCTAGAAATCAGGTGGCCTTGTGTGCTCTTGAGAGTAGCAAAAGGTGGTCAGCTTTCCTAGCCCTGTATCTGGGTGCCATGCCCTCACCGCTCCTTATCTAGCAATAGACTTGGAGCCAGAGCTAAGTGTAGAAGGAGAAAGAAGTGTGATTGCAAGAGTGACGGGCCCCCATGGGCACACGTCAGTACCGAAAGGAAGGCTCATTTTCTCACCCTAGAGCAGCATTTGTTCCAGCTCAAGTTTATGAGCAGATGGTATGGGCTGGGGAACAATCAGGAGAAGTCTCCTAACCCTTAGCTTTCCAAGGAGAAAGAATAACAACTTACCAAGAGCATGTTAGGCCCTAGCCTGAGAGGGTTACAGATCATTGGATCACAAAGTGCTCAGGACGTCTCTGTGAAGCACATTTGATAAGGCTGTATTCTTGCCATTTTAGAAATGTGGAGACCAAGGGCCAAAGAGGTTTTGCCCCCAGGAAGTCAGAGCATGGAGCCCTGGTGCGCTTCTCACTCCATCTGCAGGACAAAGTGGGCTCAGGAGCCCCTTTCCTCTTGATTTTTTTAGGGAATTGCAGACTGGAAAATCTTACATTCCTAAATGGATTTTCAAAATATTTTATCTTTTTGTGACTGCTTGGAAATGAAGAAGTATGATTGAAATGTGAGTGTGAGTAAGGCCAGTTTTGTTAATTATTCAGAAGATGCTAGAGTAAACCTAAATTATCTGGAATTAATAATATATATGAAACTTCTGTGAGAACAGACCACCTTGGAGTTTTTTGGGAGATGTTCTGATTCTCCACAAGACAATGAATCTTTTTGTGTATGAAATTTCAAGATTACTAACAATTGATTTCACATTCCTGAATTTGAGGAGAGAGTGACAAGGCTTGTAGGCAGCAGAGTGTGGCTAGAAGCAGGACCAGCAGGGTGGCCTAGAGGTGTCTCTGAGACAGGTTGGTTTAGCCCTCAGTGGTGGCTACACTGTGTAGTAGCCCTGGTCAATCCCAGGTGCTTCTTTCCAAAGCCATGTCAGAACCACCTGGTTCTTCTTACCTTACAGGTTGCCTGAGTCCCACTGCGTATATGCAGTCAGATTCTCTAGGTTCTGGTCTTGGGCTACTGGATGTTTTAAAATTCCTAGAGGGATGCCAAGGTATAGCCCCAGTGGCAGAATCATCATAGATCCTTTATCACGTGCCAGGCACCATTCTGAGCACTTTCTATGTATTGACCCATTTAAGATCCAGAGCAGCTCTAGGAGGATATTATTATCCTGTTTTACAGATCAGGAAACAAAAGCAACAGGTCGCTCACAGAAACGACTTGTAAAAATTTACTGAAACCAAACACAGCCTCTTACAACAACGCTAGCTGGTACACTGATGCCAATGGGTTTCTAGAACATTTACCTAACAGGGGAAGTCTGCACTACAAGTGACCAACCCTCCAAAAAAATAATTTGGCATTTTTGGAAAGGGTTCCCCTTGAATAGCTGTATAAGAGGGAGACACAAAGCAAATTAGGCAATGGGAAATAATATGCTTTTCAAACCTCAGGAATATGGGTTTGTTTCTTTACTACTACTTTTCTTATCATCAGAGGTTAGCAAGTGGCAGAATCAGGCTTCTGCTCCAGGCAGTGTTTGCTTTGCTCTGCTGCGTCTTGCTAAGACACGCAGAAGAACGTCAGACGGAGGCACCCCCAGGCTCATCCCATCCTGAGAGTGGACTCAGCCTCACTCCTTGACCCAAATACAGTATTTCCATGATTGCATATGGAGTCCATGCTGCACTCTGCTATAGAACTCTCCAGAAGCTGAGATGAAACAAGCAAGAGACCAAATGCAAACAGACTAAACAAATGGGAAGATTTCTATTTATTCGATAGTGGAGCCCTACTCTCACTCCCTCCATAGTTACAATTACATAGTTACACAAGTAGTAAACAGTCATTTCTATGAATGACTGTAGGTAGTCAGAGAATGCCTAGGGACTCTCTGCTACCACTGCTAATTGAGTTTCCATCAAAAACTAGCAACTCACAGTGACCAACTCTAATATCTTCCAGTCATCAAAGCCAAAATCTAACCTCAAGTCTATCTCTAACTTCCTGAAGACCACTATCACCCTGCCCCTATACCTTAGAACTGTTTGCAGATCATTTTTTAATTTTTCTGGAGAAATGAAGGTGTACTCTGAATGTACAAGGGGGACCCAGAGAACCAGAATTGACTTGTAAAAAATTCTGTATTTCTTACAATTTAAACTTCAATCACCTTCAAGGGACTCTTCATTTGATGGAACACACCTATTATTGAGATGCTTTTCCCACTGCTCAAAACAGCTTTTGAACTCACCCATTTTGATGCCTTTTAGTGCTTCTGTCATTTTTTGTTTAACCTCTTCCACAATGGTCAAACATTTCCCTTTGAAGACTTTTTTTATCCAGGGAAACAAACAAAAAAAATTGCTCAGGGTGAGGCCAAGTGAATAGGGAGGATAAGGGGTGGGAGTCTTGCCGTTTTTTGTTAAAAACCGCTAAACACTCAGTGTGGTGTGGGTAGGTACGTTGGTAAATCATCCATCATGAAATGGGCAAACATATTAAATGAATCCCCCTCAAAATTTACTGATACCAAACACAGCCTCTTACAACAATGCTAGCTGGTACACTAGAACACTTACCTAGCAGGGGAAATATGTACTATAAGTGACCCACCCTCCAAAAAGTAATTTGGCTTTTTTGGAGGGGTCCCCCACAAGAGAGAGACAAAGCAAATTAGGGCTGCTGAAATTTGGCAATGGGAAATAATATGCTTTTTAAACTTTAGGAATATGGGTTTGTTTCTTTACTACGACTTTTCTTGTTGTCAGAGGTTAGCTGGCCGAGCTTCATCCCAGGGTCTGGGGTCTGGGTAAAATGTCCTCATGGGCCAATCACCTCTATTCTGCTTGGTGGATGGTCATGGCTGAGAGGCAAACAAAAACTTCAGTGACAGTGGCATCTTCTAGAGAAATTCTTCTCTCCTCACTACAAATGTCTAAGATTAGGACCCACCACCTACCTCAGTAACCTACTTCCATAGCTTCTCACGCCTGCCTCATAAAGCAGTCATGATGATAAATGTGACAGTGTCTAATAGCTTCCAGAAATACTATCTTATTTGTACAACAGAGCCATACCAAAGGAAAAATACCAAGCAGTAGGAAGTTCTGGTGGAGCTTTGTGAATTATTGCACCTAATCACAAGCTTGCTTGTTGTTTAACTATGAAAAATTTAATATAAAGACCAGGGTGTTGTCTATAATACATGGTGTCTATACTGGGTCACCCTTGTCTATGCTGTGAGTCATGAAGCAAGTGTTCTTCTTTTGTCACCTTTTCCCCGCTCACACCCTGCAGCCATCAAGTTCTCTGGAGACTTTCTTTGACTCCCTGGTGACACAAGCCAACATCCCCAACGTTTTCTCCATGCAGATGTGTGGGGCCGGGTTGCCAGTAGCTGGATCTGGGACCAACGGAGGTAGTCTTGTGGGTATCTTTTAGTTTTAAAGGGGTGAAAAATCAGATTGATGGGGCTGTTTTATCTGTTTTATTAAATACCTGATCAGAAATATTAGACATGTAGGTGTGAGTGGGTACTGTAAAATTTGATCATCCTTATTATAGATCATTTTAAAAATGGATACAATTAGGTCTGACTTTTATCTTTTGTAATCATCCTGTCATCTAGAAAGATAATTCTCATTGCTTCTCCAAATTCCTTTCTTAAAGCCTTTTTTTAATTGTTCTTTGAAAGAGAACCGCTTTCCCTGGCTTGGAGAGGGGCATGTGAAGAATGGTTGGTATGTGGGTGATGGGTGGATCTTACTGTGTGGAGGGGGTCAAGGGGGATGCCTGTGATTTTATAAATTTGACAAGGAGATAGGGACACCTGTACATTCTCTCTCTCTCTGCACACATGCACACACATTCATACACACACACACACACACCCCATGGCAAAGTGTTTTCTACTGAAGCAGCACCAAATCTGTCTGCACTATAGATGTGCTATTGTGGGTCCTGCACCCAGACACCCAAAGTAAGAGGTGACAAGAAGGGCTTTTTTGAGGTGGGTGCTGCCACCCCTTTGTTCTCTGACCACGAAAGGCAGGCTCTGTGCCCTGTTCCCAGCTACTTCCATTGCTAATAGCACACCTGCCCTTGACACTCTTTAAATCCCCTTTCCAGAGGAGAAGAAGGCCTAGGATTTGTAGGGGAACGTTTTGTGGTTTTGCAAAATGAAGTTTTCATCAGGGAAGCTCTTTGGTTCCTTCTTCTCTCTTCTCTGACTTCTGATGAACTAAATTATTTTCAGCCAGTATAGTCAGCTATTTTGTTGCATTTCTGTGGGGGAAAATCTCAATGTTGTAAAGCTGAAATTGTATGTACTTTTTTTGGATAAGGGAAATCACCAAAGCATCTTGATTAGACTAGGGCATAATACTGTTTGACATTTGGGTACATGGCCCTATAACATCCCCTGTTTATTTTTTAAGAATTTATATTCGTTTTATAGTGACACAATGAAATAAAAGTACTGATCCGGTGAAATTTCACCTTATGATTGAATGCTTCTCTGTGCAATCCGTTGGTGTGTCTGTGTGCTTTTTCTATTACACCAGTAAATATTTTTATTTCCAGGTCCTGGGTGGAATTGAACCAAGTTTGTATAAAGGAACCATCTGGTATACTCCTATTAAGGAGGAGTGGTATTATCAGATAGAAATTCTGAAATTGGAAATCGGGGGCCAAAACCTTAATCTGGACTGCAGAGAGGTATTTACACTATGATCCCTGCTGTATCTGTCTGTCTCTATATGCCTGGTCCCTTTAAACATCACACTTGGAACGTGTATATGACATTAAGATGTGTATGACATTACAAGATAAATGGAAGGTTTATTATATGAAAAGATGCAGGGCCTTTCTGTATGGTAAGTTTAAATCAGTGAACCCCAATGTTGCCTCCCGACCCTGCCAAAAAAATTGCTTCCTCACAAGCACTTAGGTCAATAGCGCAAAATTAACATAAGGTGGTGAGTAACAGGACTATCTGAGCCACACCTTACACCACTCACTCATCTTGTCCTGGTGGTGCCTGAGCTGTGTTTGAAAGGATTGAATAGGTAGATTTTTATCAGTGAAGGGGGACAGAGAGGTACTAAAAATAAGTAAAATGAAACAAATGAACTAAAAAAATCAGCTTTGTCTTCTGTCTCTAGCTAAGCTCCCTCCCCTAGGGTATACCAGCTCTTACTGAAGAAAAGTCATATTCTAACTATGTGCTTGGCTTGAGTATCAAGCTGAGGGAGTGGGGGTGATGTGCAGAGTTCTGCCATCAAACCTCCTGTGACCCATGGTCATGCCCATTCACTGCATTTGGGCTTATTTGTGGCATGTTATGACACTAGGATTATGATGACTTAGAGCCTCAGTCTTGGAATGGTTCTAAGAATGGTTTATAGAAATCACCAGCTTTTCGTTAGATCCATACCTGTTAGCACTTCTGTTCATACTAACCACCACACTCCACCATCAATTGACTTCTTATACTCTGAGAAACCTGTTGGAGGCCGGTAAAATGATGGTTGCTTCCTTGTAATGCTGTTTCAGTCCTAAATCTACAAATCCATGTTTGTCATTAAAGGGCATTTATTTGCCGTTAAAGAATCCAGTGGTAGAATAAAATACAGACTCTGTGTATTTAGGTCCTCACATTCTATTCTCCCACTAGATTCTTTAATGGCAAATAAGCGCCTTTTGACGACAACCAAATCAAGCCTCCAAGGAATGTGTTCGGAGGCTTGATTCTTAGATTCTGGCATATTTTCTGCCTACCCAATATGCCACCCTCCCCACAAAAGAACAAACAACTAAATCCAGGACATCCCACCACCCCATTTCAGTATGCTACAAGGTTTTCGTATATTTACTTTTCTTACGTATACAAAAGAATGATAATTTTAGGAACAATCTGGGTTATATTTTAAATTAAACTTACTTTTAAACTGAAAATAATTTTATGTTTGAAAAGAATACTAATACATTGGTATATTTCATTTTCTTAAAATTATTGACTCTTCCAACTTTATTTCCTTTTGACCTGATTGGTGTATATTGGTCATGCGACTTATGGAGTTTCCTTAAAGTAGGAGGTTCCAGTTGCCCAGGACTCATCCATCCTGGGCAACCTTGCTCTTTCAGATGTGCCCCTTGTGGTCGGTCTGGGTTGGGTTGTCTGGTGTTGGCCCAGAGGCCTCCATTCCCCTTTTCCTGTCACATAAAGAATGCTACAGGTGGGGACAGGGCTACAACACCTGCGAATATATCTCAGTCCATGATTAAATGTGGCTCTGGTTCCTTTCCAATGCAAATATGGGATATGTATTGAAAAACTGTCTTTCCGTCTTATCTTTATTAGTGAGATATTAGAGAGTTGATTTTGTACAATTTGTATAAATGACTTTTAATATGTCATTTCAGCCTCTAAAGAAAAATAGGTCTTTCCTCTGTCCTGGGATGTGGGGGAGGGGAGCAGTCCTTGACAAGGAAATCTGGGTGGCTCCAAGTATGGAAAAAGCTCTGGCTGCTGATTTTAGTCATGTCACCTCCCTTTCCTGGACCTCAGTTTCCTTATCTCTGAAGTGAGAATGCTGGGCTAGGAGATCCTTGGTTCCCAAGTTCTGGGACTACAAAAAGAATTGTGGCCACTGCGCGTGACCATGGCTGCCTGGGTTAGTGTATAACAGACATGCAGTGATAGTGGCTTAAGTCATGGGTGGTGGACAGCGCCGGTGTTGCTTATGCGTCTTCTCCCCTTCTCTCTTCCGTCCTAGTACAACGCAGACAAAGCCATCGTGGACAGTGGCACCACGCTGCTGCGCCTACCCCAGAAGGTGTTCAACGCGGTGGTGGAGGCCGTGGCCCGCACATCTCTGGTGAGTTCTCAGGATGCCCACGAGTCTTTTAGATAATCACATGTGAGGACAGCACTGTATATTCTGATAGTCTCCGAACGATCAGTTCATATGTTTTAAAACTTTATATTTGTGTATTTTATACATACTAATATAGGTGTAATATATATAAATTTATATATTTTATGTTTAAGCATTTTATGTTTTGAAGATTTTTTTAAACAATTACTTATTAATATCACAATCTTATTCTTTGGTGTTAATCAGCAAATAACACCTTCATTCTAACTTCAGGGAACTTGGATTTGAATGTGCAATGCTTTTTAGTATTTCCAATACAGTTGATATAGTAATTTTTTATCTGAGAAAAACAGTACTTTGTAATATAACTATATTAAACAGTAAATCAAGTCAAGAACACATTTATGGCTTTTACAACAAAACACATAAATAAAAAATCTTACCTCTTTTTAGGCCTTTATCTAAGCTGCACAGGTATCTTAACTTCTACTTCCATAAAAGAATGTGACTTTTTCACAGAAGGCAAAGGTCAATTGACCAATCTAACAATTAGTTTATGGCCATGCTCTGAAATATAATTAAAATCATGGTTGAGGACCATATACCTTTTAGGGGTCTGGCTGGTGTGATTCCCAGTGTGACTCCAACTTTCCAGTTAGTTCAGGGCAGCAAGCATTAGACAGTACTCAGCTTTGGGGGCCAAAAGGAATTAAATTTAGTCTAGCTTTTGCCACTGATAGCTAGGTGTCAGGGGTGATGTTCTGTGCCCTCCAGGAGGCTCTATGTCGTATCTGTGAGGTTTGAGATCAAATGCCCTGTGTTTATAGTAGACTCTCCACAAAGAAAATCTTCCAATGAATGTAAAACCACAGCATTACAACTCTTTGTTTGGAAGTGACATAAACTTTACTTTTGGCTTCTTGAGTATTTTCATAGCATCTGTCCACTCAGGGCCATCTTTACAGAATCACCAAAAAGTGAGTACTTCCTGCTCAAAGCCTTTATCTGGTACTAGCGTGGGGCTGATTGTCCCACTACTCTGCTGTGATGGGCAAATTCAAAGAATGACTGACAGGAAAATGCACAGCAGTTGCTTTGTGACAGCTTCTAGCAGAAACATGCAAGCAAGAGAGGGCTTTGGGTTGTCTTGAACCCAAGCTTCAAAAGTCTCTAACTGCTATGGGAAGAGCAGAAAACAGATCGAATGGACACAGAGGAGAAATAAACGAGGAAGGACATGGGGCCCCTTTGAAACAGCAGGTATCAAGGCAGCAGCCTGGCATGGCTGCTTGAAGCTAGAGCAGAGTCTCAATTTTTCCTACAATCTGCTGAGTCAGAGAAAACAGCAGGTCACATATTTAGTGCCTTAAATTGAGAACGCTTGCTGAAAAGCAGACCATGCTTAACGTTAGGAGCAATACCCTTATTTCTTAAATAGAAAAAAGTCCTCAGCAGAACGAACATTAATACATTAATATCTTTAAATTTAATATTTGTTTGTTGAGTCAGGGCCTCACTGTGCCACCCAGGCTGGAGTACAGTAGTACAATCATGGCTCACTATAGAATTGACCTTCTGGACTCAGGCGATCCTGTGGCCTCAACCTCCCAAGTAGCTGGGACTACAGGCATACACCACCACACCCAGCTAATTTTTTATTTTTTGTAGAGATGAGGTCTCCCCAAGTTGCCCAGGCTGGTCTCAAACACCTGGGCTCAAGCAGTCTTCCCGACTCAAACCTACAGAAGTGCTAGGATTATAGGTGTGAGCCGCCACTCCTGGCCAAATTTCACATTCTGAAGATAAGTGTTTGACAGCTGTCCCAAGGACACATTTGAAGCACAGCATTTGAAGCCAGCAAGCCCTGGACCGGCCAGGCCCCTGTGTTGAGAGAGGCAGGGCCTTGGGGCCCCCAGGGGCTCACACCCCTGAATTCATCACAGCATGTGCTCAGCAGCCACTGGCTTTGCAAGAAAACCACAAGGTGGAAGGAATGAGATCACAAAATTTGTTTGTCTTGTCTAAAATTATCCTGTGATTTCATCCAGTGCCTGTATCAGGAAGGAGAAACTCGGAGAAGTTGTTTGTCTTGGGCAGGGAAAGCTCAACAAGGCTGCATTGTGTCTCTGTCTTACTGTCTCTGGACTAAAGATGTGTTTGTTCTTCTTATCTGCTAGGTTCCTGTGAGTTGGCCTTCTTGGCCTGGATTTCCTTCTGGTTAAGGAGAAGGCTGACTGCAGAGAGTTACAGATAGTAAAAATGTTGGGCTCTGCCTCCTGGCGTGGATAGTTCAGTTGGGATTTTAGAAATTAATGGTTTGTAGATCTGTATTTAGAAATGAGTCTGGTGTGTAGTTTTGTGCAGGGCCAGTATCACGTGCAGAGGCATGGAGACCTGGGCTTGTTCTGACCTGACCGTGGTGCGGCGTCCATTTGGCTTAGTCTAGCACTTCTACAGTGGGAAAATTTAAAAGCTGGATTACACCAAGATGATTTCTAACTGTAAAACTCTGTGATCAGAGTGTCGAAACTGACCCCCAAGGACGTGTGGTTTAACTCCATCAGAGGACTCCAGACTTATGGATAAGGGACCCGGCTTTGGGGGAAGTAAGTCCCATATCCAATTCTGAGCTGAACCACTCAGGCTAGTGACTTGACCTCTCTGAGCCTCATTCTCCTTCTGCCCTTGGAGCTGGTGGTGGTGCTGTCATTGGAGCTTTGTGCCCCTGCTGCAGACCCCGTCCACTATAGCCCCTTGGTGGCTCCGTCAGAATGACCATCCTCACCTCCTGTTGCCTCATCCAGGAAGGGGCTTTTCCCTGTGATGCATATTTCAATCAGTGTAACATTTTAAAATATCAAAGATGCATTAACGCCAGCCTTAGAAACTTCAGAGATCTGGCCAGGTGCAGTGGCTCATGCTTGTAATTCTAGCACTTAGTGTGGCTGAGACGAAAGGATTGCTTGAGTCCAGGAGTTCAAGACCAACCTGGGCAACATAGCAAGACTTCATCTCTATAAAAAAGTAAAAAACTAAGAAAATAACTAGGCATAGGGTTGTGTGCCTGTAGTTCTAGCTACTCAGGAGGCTGAGTTGGGAAGATTACTTGAGTCCAGCAGTTCAGGACCAACCTGGGCAACATAGCAAGACTTCATCTTTATAAAAAATTAAAATATTAAAAAAATAGCTGGACATGGTGTTGTGTGCCTATAGTTCTAGCTACTCGGGAGGCTGAGGCAGGAGGATTGCTTGAGCCCAGGAAGTTGAGGTTGCTGTGAGCTGTGATCATGCTACTGTACTCCAGCCTGGACAACAAAGTGAAACCCTACTGGGAAAAAAAAAAGGAATTTCACAATTTCACAGATCAATCATGAACAGTCTGGGTAGGGAACTTGGGACGGATGAACTGAGGACAGGGAGCTGTCTCTCCAGTTGTATGCTTGGCAGGGTGGGCAGATGTCTACTGTGTATGCTGTTATGCAGCACGTGCCACCCTCAAGATTCAGCCCGTGGGCGTCACCAGATGCATCCAGTGGCACCCTCATTTTTTTGTGTTCTCCTCTCGACAGCTTCCTGTCGCGTTTTCCTGTCCTACTTCATGGCAGTTCCCTTGGCTTCCAGGACACTGTCTCCCCTCCTCCCTGGACTCTCTGGTTCCTGCACCGCTCCTCATGGGGGCCTCCTCTGCTGGTGCGAGGCCCCATCTTCTCCCTGCACCCTCTCCTGGAAGCTCCTATCTGCAGCCTCACCTGTCAGTGGTTCTCTGACATGTGTCGAGCCTAGGCCCATCCCATGGAGCTCAAAGAACCAGTGAGCTCTGTGACCTGTCCAGTTGGACACCTGAAGCATGCCACAGAGCTCAGCCCAGATGCTGCAGAGCTCAGCTCCAATGCCACAAAGCTCATCTGATGGATGAAATATAGTCTTGTCACTCCTTTGAGACAGAGCCCAGTTCTCTCCCCACCTCATCTCATATTCCCCCCGTCCTTGGTGCCAGCCTTCATGACAGCCATCCACGTTGCCCAGAGAAGCAGGTTCCTTCACAGCATCCTGTGTTGTGTCTTCCCCACCCCCACGCCTCCCTAGCACCCTTTCCACTGCTCTCCAGCTCAAGCCCTGTTTCTTCCTCGGGGAGGATCCCTTGTCAGACACTCTCTTCCTCCCAGACATGGTCTTAGTCTGCTCTCCCCCACCTCATCGTCTCTTAACTCTGTCCCATGTGGGACACTGTCCTGGGTGTGTCACAAGAGACACACCAGATGCAGGCCTTCCCCCGGGAGCTGGCAGCCCCAGGGCAGACTCTACTCAGGAACCTTCATGTGAGATCACATGGGTGTTATTAACTTGTCAGTCAGCAGCTAGGTATGTAGACAGACAACACCTCCCTTCGGTCTCCTGGTGAGAGGTGCAGGTGGGTATCTTGTGTTGTCATCCACCTTTTTGTCCCACAGATTTTTCTGAATCTCTTCTATGTGCTGGGTGTTAGTTAGGACTACAGTAGGGGCCAGGAAGCAGACTCCTGTCCTGAGAGGACTTAGACTCTAATGCAGGAAACAGAAGCTCATCACAACAATAAGTATGAATTGTCAGCTGCCACAGAGAGAAAAGCCCAGAAGGAGAGATGCCTAGTGGTGTACTAATGTTATGTGGGGGAACTAGGGAGGGCTTCCTGGATGAGGCAGCTTCTGAGCTGAGATCTGGAGGTGGAGAAAGATGTTCCAGAAGAGCAGAGAACTTATGCTGGGCTCTGCACCAGGAGACTGCTTGCTGGGCTCATGAAATTCAAAGGGTAGGCGATACCCAAAAGGACCTGAGGGTCACCTTGAAAATTGCTTTCTTCTAAAGGATCATTGCCCACTGCTGTGTGACCTTGGGCGAGTTACTGCACCCCTCTGTACTTTGATTGCCTCATCTGTAAAATGGAGAGTCTAATGTTATCACACTCGAGAATTAAAGTAACTGTTGTTACAAAGCACTTACAAGGGTGACTAATACTTGTAAGTGCTTCGTATGTCTTACCGATTTTAATAATTATTGTCATCACCGTCACTCTTCCAGGGACTAATATCCCTGCCGTTCTGTCCAATTAAGCATTGTTTATTCCTGTGGGCGTCTGGTGAGGTGGCTAGGAGAGCCCAGAGCTGTTTCCTGTTGACATACCAGACTAGTCATGGTTTCTCACGTGGTCTTGTTTTGTCTAGATTCCAGAATTCTCTGATGGTTTCTGGACTGGTTCCCAGCTGGCATGCTGGACGAATTCTGAGACACCTTGGTCTTACTTCCCTAAAATCTCCATCTACCTGAGAGATGAGAACTCCAGCAGATCATTCCGTATAACTATCCTGCCTCAGGTATGAACTTGAACTTGAACTTGTACTTTCGTCTCTTTAACATGTAAAAGCACTTCCTGCATAACACACCTATTAGATCTCATGTCTGTAAGATGCTGTGTAAAGACAACCACACCTGAGTACAGGCGGGTCAGCAGATTGCAGCCGAACTCGTTCATGTGTCTCTGATCAGCTGGTGGTTGGCCAGGCCCAGGTGGGCCTCACTCACATATCTGGTGGTGAGTTTCATGGAGTGATGGGATGTCTCCCCTCCTCCTATGGCTGACTCACGTGTGGCAACAGGATTTTGAGAGGGAAAAGAACCACGCAGGGGCTCCTGCAGTCTCAGCTTGGATCTGGCCACCATCCCTTCCATGGTGCTGCCTTAACAACCCCAAGGCCAGTCCATATTCCCAGGTTGGGACGTAGATTCCTCTGCCAGTGGGGGATGCTGTAGAGGCATGTGGCCAAAGAACTGGGTGCATTGTCACATCTGCCACATGACGATTATAAACTCTTTTCCTGTTCACATTTGCATAAAGAATCAAACAGGATTGTGAGATGGAGGTATTGTCATTTTTTCCTATAATTCCAGTTATAGGAAATGTGACTCCTTCTTCATCGGAAGCATCTAATTAAATAGACTAAGTCTGACTTTCTTAGTCAGTTCCTCACTTCTTCTAACCCTCCTTTCTGGAGCTGTTGGTCTTGTGTGACTCTCACAGTAACCTCTTGAGTGTCTCTGCCATGCTAAGCTGCCACACTCTCTTCTTTTTAAAAGTATTGTCAGATGAATCTTCCTAGACCACTGCTTCACCCGAGCCTCCCCTGCTGTGAGTAAGCAGCAGGTCCCCATGATGTGAATATGGGCAGATCATAGAGGACTTACTCCCCAGCACGGCTGTTTGTGACCTCCTGCCAGGCCCCTCCTGACCCCCCCAGCCTGTTTCCCTCCACACCCTGACCCTCCTCTGGGATGTCCTCCAAGGCCTTTTGCCTGCATCTGTCTCCTAATCTTTGCTCCACCAGCCTCCTGCCTGAAATGCCCTCTCTCCCATACTCCATTCATATGAAGGAGGACCCCAAAAAACCCAGAATTTATTTGTAAAAAATCATATATTCATTTTCACATGTTTAAACTTCAGTCGCTTTGAAAGCACTCTCCATTTGATGCAATACACCTATCGGGACGCTTTTTCCACTGCTCAAAACAGTTTTTGAACTCATCAGTTTGTATGCCTTTTAGTGCTTCCGCCGTTTTTTGTTTCACCTCTTCCACGTTAGCAAAATGTTTCCCTTTGAGGACTTTTTTCATCTGGGGGAACAAAAAAAGTCACTTGTGGTGAGATTAGGTAAGTAGGGAGGGTGGGTTATGGAGGTCATGCTGTTTTTGGTCACAAACACTCAGCATGGTGTGGGCAAGTGTGTACATAAATCACCCATCATGAAATGGGCAAATGTGTTGAAAGAATCTCCAAAAAAGAAATTCACTGAAGCCAAACACAGCCTCTCACAATGATAGCCAGTCCACGGATGCCGATGGGGTCCTAGAATACTTACCTAGCAGGGGAAGCCTATACTACAGGGGACCTACCCTCCAAAAAATATTTCTGGTTATTTTGGGGTCCCCCCTTATTACCACATTCTTCTCATTTTTTAAGATTCAACTCAAGCAACCTCAGCTTTTGTTGAAATTCTGCCGAGCAGAATAACCCACTTGGGAGCTAGCACTTCCCACTCATCCTGCATATTTTCTAGGCTACTCATCTGGCATGGAAACATGTCTTTAGGGTGTATTTTATGCTGTTGCCTTTTTCATTTGACTTCTGTTTTCTTAAACAACAACAACTTTTATGTCTTTGATTAATTATGAATTCTTCAAAGATGAAAGAATTTAACTTTATTTTCCCCAGGGTAGGGAAAGTGGACACATCAATGTCTCTTTGTTGTAATTTGATGGATTTGGAATAAAGGGGTTCAGACTGAGGGAACAAGGAAGAAGGAATAATTTCAGAAAGAAAGTAAATGACATTATAACCTTTTCTCCCCATTTTTGACTTTACATATGGGGATGTGCTTTCCTGAAAAAAGAGATCTTGGGGAAAGCATTGAAAGCTTCCAGAGAAATACAGGCCAACAGAGGACATGCACACTGGCACAAGAGGCATGAGTTATATTCTCAGAACCGCCCTTGACTCACACTGTAACTTTGAGCAAATCACTTAGCCCTTTCTGTGTCTGTCTCTTTAGCTATAAAGGAGAAATAATAACACTTCCCAAAGACATTTCCAGAAGAGTGCAATATCCTTGGATAAATGGCACTGCATGGAATGATGTTAGAATAATGTGTTTTCACCATCTTTAAAATAATATGCTCTGATGATTAAATTGTGGCCAGTACAATAGCAAAATGTGGACATTATTTCACCAGTGTGGTTTGTAACTAATGTCAAAACTCAGCTTGGGGACTACAGCTGGTGAATAAATGACATATGTCAGGTGGGGTGCACTGTGTTGCTCTGTGGATTCTTGATTTCACCACAGAAAAGAATTTCAGAGCGAATCGAAAATTTAAGAAAGAATTTATCAGAAAGAAAAGAATCACATTCAAGGAAAAGCATGGGCGCCTTAAGAGAAAGGACACGTGCTTGCCTTTGACAAGAAACTTTATATACTTTTACAACAAACCATGACCAACTTGCAAAGGCTGCAGGTATCTGGTCACAAGTTTTGATGACCCTCTCTCAACCTTTTAAGTCACAAAGACCTCCTAAATAATGAAAGTTACTGTCTGACTTGATGTGAGCTTTTCTTTGAGCATAATGTGTGTGTTTTGGGTAATTTCCTATGGTTTCTGTGATTTACTGTATTGGTAGATCCACACACCAACCAGCAAGGTGGTCAGGTCAGATATGCCTGATTGGTCAGGTGAAGGTTGTATATGGATAAGAAAGATGTCTGAATACTCACCCTGTTCTAAATTAGATCTGCCTGAGAAAAGCCTGCCCAGCTACTTCTAAATTTTGTTAACTATGCCTGCCTCAAGAAGCAGGAGGAGAAGGTAGGCACAGGAAATTGTTCAGGGCAGATCACAGCCGTGGAGGCTTACTGCGGGTCTTCTGCCGCTTTTAGGATCAGCCACTGAACACGCTTGGGGATTTAATGAGAGAGGTTTGAAAGTATTAGTTTCATTTGCATATCTCTGCATGAAAATACATTTTTACTTTCTCTTATGAGACAGTAGGTATTTTTTGGTTGACTCTGATATGTTCACATTTTTTTATTTTTAAAAATCTACTTTCCCTGCAGTTTTTCTCATTTCTTGCCCAATAGCACCATTCCATTTGCCTTGCCTTGCCTAGCTGGGAGAGGACTTAGAAAAAAAGTTGGGAAAAACTACCTGATAAGAACCCCAAAAACTCTACAGGTCACTGGCCAGCAGGAATGAATCTCAGGGCAAACATCAGGGTACCTTATCCCTAGAGTTTTAGGATGGGGCCCTACCTGGGGCCTTTCAGATACTAGCCATTATATATCGGGAAATGATCACTAGTGCATGAAAGAGTCAAGTCAAAAGCAATTATCTTTATTTGTCTATTTTTTGAGACAGAGTCTTGCTTTGTCACCCAGCCTGGAGTGCAGTGGCACAATCATAGCTCATTGCAGCCTCCCACTCCTCGGCTCAAGCCATTTTTCTGCCTCAGCCTCCTGAGTAGCTGATACTCAGCTGATACTGGTGCATGCCACAATGCTCAGCTAATTTATTTTTTATTTTCTTTAACAAGGTCTTGTTATGTTACTTAAACTGGTCTCAGACTCCTGGCAAAGGCATTTATCTTAAATTTCATCTGTACCCAGCACTATTTTCCTAAAGCAGATGGGCCAGATCCCATTTTTCCTTCAAGGGAAGTCTTCAGCCTGCAAGAGAAGTCCGATTTTTTTCCCTACAGCTTCTGCTTTGCCATCTCCTTGGCATCCTCTCCTTCAGAACAATCAGCCCTTTCCTACTGGTCTCCTCTCAGCCTTTTCTGCTCCCCGCAAAATCATCAGCCCCCTATCTTAGCCCCTTCAGACCCCCTGGAGGGTCTAAGCCAGGTGGCCCAGGACTCTGTTTAGGTGAGTCTGACTTTTTCCTCCAAGACTTTCTTTCTGCCTTTGCCCTTTAAGGCTAAAATTACTCACAGGAAGGTTCTTTTGCCTACTCATTTTGCACTTTATTGCTTTTTTCCAAATGTGTAGCATTTTGTCATACTAAGTTACTCTACTCTCTGATTGCCTGTGTTTGAATTCTGTGCTATGCAAAAGCAAAGGGATTGTTGTTACTGAATATATTGATTTGCTTGTTGATTGTTTTAAGTATTGACCCATTTCCTCACTCACTCTTGGCTCCAAGGATCTCAAAGGTCATGCCCTGTGCTTATTTAACACTGCACAGTGTCTGATGGAGGTGGTCCTCACACAGGGCAGAACTTATCTTTGAATGCTCTGTCTTTTCTCTGATGACTATTGTTTCTCTTTTTACTGGGACAGTCATCCTGCCTCCGCCAGGCTGCCTACTTTTAAAATGCTCTTTGCCAGAGGGGGCATGATTGCTTTGGAAGGATGGGATCCTGGGGCCAGTTAGGAGCCATTGCAGTAGATCACAGGAGATGAGGACAGTGGTGGCCTAGGTGGGATGAAATGATGGAGCAATTAGATTCAGATTCAATTTCATAGGAAAGCCCACAGGTCTAGTTACAGTTCTGAGGTAGGGTAAGACATAACGAGAGCTAATCCAGCGCTTTAGGTCCTCAGTAACTGCATGTGTCATGAAATTACCCAAGACAGAGAACCTTGAGAAAAGAGTGAATTTGTTGGGGGAGATGGGAATATCCAGGGTTCAGGTTCATAAATGTTGCGTGTGAGATGCCAGTTGCAAAGTGAGAGACAGGCGTGAGTGTATAGCAGTGAGTGTTTAGTAGTGGCTGCTGAGGTCTGGCCTGGAGATGAAAATTTGACAGTCTCATATTCTCAAACTCACCCAGTGCTCAATCCTAAAAGCAACTGATGATTCCCAGCGAGCCTCAAGACTGTGCCCTGCCCTGGGCAGAAAGATTTCCCTGAATGCCTGCCTTCTCCTGCTTTTTCTGAGCCCCTGCACATGCCATTGGTTTACCAGTACATGTTTGCTCTGGTCCTCAAGCTGGGTTTAGCTACAAACCACGTTGATGAAATAATGTCCACATTTTGCTGTTCTACTGACCAAAGAGGACTTAGGGCTGTGGGGTTGGATGGATCATTCAGGGAGGGCAGGTGGAGAGGGGATCACAGCCCAGGAGTTTTCTGCTGCTCACAGGAGGGGAATGTCAAGCAAATTGGATAGGGATTCCTGACAAGGAGCAGTGATGAGTTAGGAGGAAGAGCATGGCCCGCCTAGAAACCTAGTGAAGAAAGAGCTTTCCAGGAGGGAATGTGGGTAGCTGGTCAACACCTACAGGGAGGGCTGCTGGGGTACTTCCACGAGAGATACAGTAAGTCCTCTACATACATACAATTCCATTCTGAGATGGTGTTTGTAAGTCCAACAAAGTTAACCTAGGTACCCAATTAACACAATCAGCTATATAGTACTATACTATAGTAGGTTTAGAATACTTTTCACACAAATAAAAAACAAACACAGAAAAATACAATATTTTAAATCTTACAGCACAGTACCTTGAAAAATATAGTAGTACATTATAGTATAACAGCTGTCATACAGGGGCTGGCTACATCACTGCTGCTTTTATGTTGGCTTCTGGACATCCTAGGCTTGAAATAAAAATACTGAACTACTGTACTCTATACAGCACTGTACAGTAAAGTACACAAATGCACAGCCACTTGTAGAGGATGCTCACATGTAACTGTACACTAGACACATGAACTAGCTTACGTGATTGGGCATGTGAACATACATTCGCATCTTTGGAAGTTTGCAACTTGATGGCTCGTTTGTAGGGGACTTATTCTACTACCTGCCTGCCCCAGAGAAGAGAAGTCTCAAGGGAGCAGGTCCCGTCTGTCATTCACCACTATATTGCTGGTACAGATGATGGCACCTGATCCATATTAAGTCTTCAACAGATAACTGCTGGGCAAATGGCTGGATGGGCAGATGAACAGATGAACACACATCTTCTGGATGTGTGTATCTGTGTGTAGTTCCAGGTGGTGTATGTGTATCATCCACTTCTGTCACTCTCAATAATATTTATCACCATGCTTCTCATTTCCTAGAGGATAGGGATGAGATCACTTTTCTTTCCATGTGACTCCTCTTTTCTCCTCAGAGGGTCCTGAGCATGCAGGTGACCTCAACAGTTTCGTGGTGTTGCCTGATTTGTGCTTGTTCTTTGCTTTCTCCTCTTAAACAGCTTTACATTCAACCCATGATGGGGGCTGGCCTGAATTATGAATGTTACCGATTTGGCATCTCCCCTTCTACGAACGCCCTAGTGATCGGTGCCACTGTGATGGAGGGCTTCTACGTTGTCTTTGACAGAGCCCGGAAGAGGGTGGGCTTTGCAGCGAGTCCCTGTGCAGGTGAGCAATTCTTGCATTGGACAGGGAGGCCTGACACGAACACTTTAGGCACTTTTACTGACTTGGAAATAATTCTTGATGACACATCAGTTGCCATTAAATTGTTTCACACATATATATCATTGGTAACCAAAGTCTTATCAATAAAATAGGTCATGGGATTGCTGAGAGAATTAAATGAAGCCATCTGTGTAAAAACTTCGAGTTCAATGGTTGACCCCTGACAAATTCTCATTAAATGTTAGTCATTACAGTAACTAAGAAGAAAAATACTCTGTGGAGCATATCTGTTGAATTACAGTTGTTTGTTAAAGCAAAATGAGTAAAGGAGAAAATTTGTATATAAGCTGTGTACATTAATTTTGCCTCAAAGCAGTTCTCATTATAAAATAAAAAGTAAACTGCTATTTCACAAAATCCTAAAATAATGAGACTGAGGAGCCTATGTTTCTTGTGGAATTCCTTTGAAGAGGTGTATGAGGGCAACACAAAGCGTTATTCTGCAAAGTCTAGCTTGAGGTTTGGGCAGGTCTTCCAAGAAACCAGGAGAGCACAAGTAAGTCGATAGGATGGTTAAACCCCATGAGATTGAAAATGTCTTCAGATTCCAGTTTGCTTGAGATGGGGCATTCACACAGCACACGGTATAATGGGAGGATTAGGTGCTTGTTTCTAACAGTCTGAGCTAGCAAGGAAAGACCCAATCATAGAAGTGGGATGAGTCGTGAGGGGAGGAAACGTCTGCACTGGGGAAGTGGCCGGGAGAGTGGTGGCATTTCAAAATGGGATTGCAGAAGACTGAAAAATTAGGGTATTTGAAGTCAGGAGCAAACTGAAATTCCGATACTGTGCTGGTAACCTGCAAAGGGAGAGAAAAATTAGGTGTGAGGTCAAAAAAGAACTGAGGACAAGGAGGTGGAATTGAAGAAAATTAGTGGGGTGATGGTGAAATACAAGATCACCAGGTAGTTGAAGGAAAGAGAATGGAAATTTGATGAATATTCAATACTGTGGTCAGCACACTGGCATTTTTTGAAAAGTAAAGTACCAAGTTAGAGATCAGAAGAAGAGAAATATTAAAAGGAAAAGTTATGTCTGGAATTATTAGACCAATTCATATTCTATACAAATAAGGTCACTCAACCCAGTGTACATAACTGATATGTTGTGATATGTCTTCTTAAATACCAATGCAGATTTATTTCACTTTGCATTGGTAAACAGACTTGGAACCCTTAAAGCTTGTCATGTTTTTCATCTTTGCCATGTGTAAATGTTTACCTTTAAAATGTGCAATAACTCTTTAAGTCTGTTATCACTGAGTGAGACTTTTCTTTGTGGCAGCAAGTATGATTGAAATATCACTATATCCCACCTGTCAATATTTTACTTCTTTTTAACCGAGGGACTCTAAGAACTAAAACAATTTTTGCCTGCAATTTCTGTTCCCTTGTTAAATACCATTAAAATAGAGGCTACTATGGCAACAGCTGTTAGAGCGTCCACTTTACTTAATACTTCAGAGTCTAATAACCGTTTGTTTCCTAAGTGAATTGCTTTTGGAAATGGGTTAATATTAAGTATCTCTAGGCAGGGCACCATTTTTTCTTGCATTGCATTGGGAATTATTTGTGAGGTGCTCTTATATAAGTTTTGTGTTGCTTTTTCAAAAATGTATTTAAGACTTAGTACCTAAATATTTGATTTTACCAGCTGTGGGAAAATACAGTGATCTATGTCTCCTCTTCAGTGTGAATTGTTTAGCCATTAAAGTAATTGCTTTCCTCAGGGCTGCAATTAAAGAAGCCAGGCAGTGCTCTACAGCACTATAATAAATGAAGTAGATACATTGCCTTTCTTTCTTTTTAAATGTGTTTATTTTTAATTGTAAAATGTTTAAGTAACAAAAAAGTCTTAAATTACAGAAAATCATATACTACATGCATATTTATAGAATATTCAGATTGAATAAATGCTAATATTTTGTTCTATTTTCTTTAAAAATTTGTCTGAGAAACAACAGCAAGTTATATAAAGCCCTGCCCCACCCACTTCCCCTTTATCTTGAAATTGGTGTTTATTCTTATCCTCATTACTACACATTTATAATTTTACCAGATAGGTGTAAGTACTTGGTGTTAGTTATCTATTGCTGTGTAACAACTTACCCCCAAATGTAGCAGCTCCTTATTACCTTACATGGTTTCTGAGGGTCAGGAATGGAGGAGTAACTTAGCCAGTGGGTTCTAATCAGGGTCACTGATGAGGTTACAGCCATCTGATGTCTGTCAGAGCCTCTTCCATGCTCCCTCACGTGGTTGTTGGCCAGAGCCCTCCATCACTCCTCCTGTGGACCTCATCACAGAACTGCCTGAATGTCCTCTGGTTACCCCAGAGCCTGTGACCAAGAGAGAGGGCAACCCAGCACCCAAGACAGAAGCCATAGTTGTTTACAACCTAATTTCAGAAGTGTACGCTATAGCTTCTGCCCTATGCTCTTGGTTGCATAGAGCAACTCTGATACGAGTGGAAGAAGGGGACACGGGTTAAGTACATCAGGAAGCAGCGATCATTGGGAGTCATCTCAGAAGCTGCCCATCATATACTTATAACAAAACATAGGTTGGTTGATTTGTTTGGGTCTTTTTTTCCTATTTTTAAATTTATGTGAATGCTGTGGTACTGTGTGTAACCTTTGTCGACTTGGTTTTATTGCTTAACATTATGTTTTTTAGATTTTGTATGTTACTATGAGTACTAGGTCATTTGTTTTGACTGTTATATAGTATCTCATTTTATGAATATGCCCAGGTTATTTTTCCAGTTTTATGTCAATGAACATTTGAGTTGTTTATTGGTGATTATAAGCAATACTGCATCAAACATCTCTGTGTATATGAATGAGATCTTTTAGAAATGGTATTTCTAAACGATTTAGTATATCAACTTCAGTGTTTTTGGCTACTGTCAAATTCGTCTTCAGAGTAGCTGCAACACAAGAGTTATGTGAGAATTTTCATTCCCTCAAAGTATTGTCATACTTGTTTTGTTTTTGTGTTTTGACAATCTAAGTGTGTAAAGTAGTGCCACATTTCACATTTTAGCTGATTTCTTTTAAGATTGCACAACTTTGGATATGTTTGTGGGATATTTGAGCTTTCTCTCTGAGGACAGAGTTTTCTATTTAATATCTTGTGCATTTTTTTCTACTTGTCTTTTTCACCGATATATATGATTTCCTTATATACTTGAGATATTAATTTTCTGGGTTATATCTTCTAATAATCTGGATTTTTCTTTTTACTTGTTTTGGTGCTTTTTATTTTATTTTTTTAATTTAGTGAAATCAGGTTTACCGTGTTTCCCTAATCATTGATACTCTGTACCTTATTTAAGAAATTCTTCCTTATTCTAAGAAAATAGGGATAATTTTTTTCTTCTAAAGAGACTATATACTTCTTAAAATTGTCTTCCACAATGTGTGTTGGGAACCTAATTTTTATGAGAATATTCAGTTTTCTCAGCATCATTTATTGAATACACAATGTTATCCATTCTTATTTTTCCAATATTTTATTATGAAAATGTTTAATGTAAAGAAAAGACTAAAAGTAATACAGTGATGTCCTACATACCAACCATCTAGATTTAGTAATTTTTAATGTTTTATCAAATATCAGGATATGTGTATGTTTGTATGTTGTTTTTGCTGAATCACTTGCAAATAAACTGCAGATATTATGACTTTCACTCCCCAAATATTTCACTATGCATCTTAAAAATAGGACATGCTCCCATATAACTACAATATTATGATTGCTTCTGGAAAAAACAACAATTCTGCCAAACACTATGTTATATCTAGGTCATATTCAGATCTCCCCATTTGTCCCAAAAATGTTTTCATTAGCTGTTTTTCTTTTTCTGGAAGGTCTGTTGTTTTGTAGACTGTATCACATTTATTTTTAACTGAGTACTTCCTAGTGCTATTATTTGACATGTTCATTTAACCTCATATTTCCTTAAATTTAATGTAGTAAATTAATGTAGAGATGTAATTAGATTCAACTTGAATCACCTGGTGAATTTTAATAGCATCTTTGTCATGTGCCAAGTTCTCTCTTCTATCTCTCTGGTCTAATTCCCTATCCCTGAACTAAACCATATAGTTTGATTTTTGTAGTCAAAAGATACTATCTGGCAGGGGCTTGACCTTTCTGTTTATTCTTCTTTAAAATTGTCCTGGCTGTCTTTGCCCTTTTAATCTTTTTAAGATCCCTGAAGAACCCTTTTGGGATTTTGATTAGAACAGCATTGAATTGATAGATTAGCTTGAGAAGAAACCAGATCTTTACAGTATCATTTTTTTTTCCTCCATGAATGTGCTAAATCTTTTCATTTGTTTAGGTCTTCTTTTATGCCCCACTGTAGTGTTTTGTAATTTTCTCCAAAAAGTTCTTATACCCAGACTTTACTAGATACCTTAGTTCTTACTGTTACTCCAAATGAAATTATTTTAAATTGCATTTTCTAGTGGGTTGTTTGGGGGTATAGGTGTGCACTTTTTTGTATATTAATTTTCTGTCCAGTCACATTGTTAAATTCTTCTTTTTAAGTGGTTTTTAGAGTCACTTGAATTTCATATTAAAACAGTCACATAATCTGCAAATAATACATTTTTAATTATGTCCAATCTTTGTATCTTTTGTTTATATTTTGGGATTCCTTCTAATACAATGTTGAATAGAAATTGTGATAATGGATGCTTTTTTGTCTTTTCCTTTGAAGGAAATATTTGTCATGTTTCATCATTGAGCATTATACAATGATGGGGTAGGTTGTAGAATTCCCTTCTTAATCCTGAATGTAGTGATTCTCAATTTTCCAAAAGTGTATAGTATGAATGAAAACTTTTTGACAGTTTCTACTAACATTAACATATGACTACTCAATACCCCAGCAGTTCCACTCGTAGGCATATGCAAAGGAGAAATGAATGT